CACCTTCAGTTATTTCCATGGCTGATTGTTCTTTAATTTCATTTGGAAGTTTCTGTAGTAACTCTCGTTTGTTGCTGGACCACTTCCGCAACGTGAACTCTCCTCGTTGAAATATTCTGATGAGTTCGTCTTGTAGTGATAGAGCTTCTTTTATAGTATCAGCACCTGATAGCAAGTTGTCGATATAAAAATCTTTCATTGCTGCTCTAGATGTATTCAGAAAGTTGCATCTCTCGTCGTGGGCAAGCTTTTGTAGTGTTTTAATAGCTAAGTATGGTGCTGCTGTCATCTCATAGGTTACAGTTGTTAAGCAATATTCAATTGGTGTGTTATTATCAAATCTCCATAAGATTTTCTGATACTTCAGGTCATCAGCGTGAATCTTTATCTGCCTGTAAATTTTTTCAATGTCAGCTGTTATCACTACTTTATGTGACCTCCAGCATAGCAGTATACCTGTCAGTTCTGGCTACAGTTTTTCGTATGCCTTCCAAGAAAAACTGGGCATATTCTTGGGCCCCTAGAAGTATATCTACTGGACCAGGTTTATAGAATGTTGCATCAGCAAGGACGTCGTTCTTCCATTGTGATATATCTACGTCAAGGTCTACTCCGGGAAGAGTTCGTGTTAGTTTAGGTAGAACAATTCCGAGAACATCAAGCTGGAAATTACTGGAAAATATCGGCTTAATTATTAGCTGTAACTGGGATTTTGAAACTTGTGGTTCTCCTGCGCCAAGCCCTATAATTTTTGCTTGAATTTTTTGCCTGGGCAGGGCGAGTAGACTTGCAGCTGTTCCGTTATAAATGCTGATTGGGAACCAGGGTCGATGAGAACACTCAAATTTTCATAACTTCCATAAGCATTTCTAACTTTAATGAGTGCAGTTGCCAGGGATACCATCTCATCTTGTCGGCTGACATGGCTTGTTATTGTTTCGGTTCTTTGATCATTTCTGCACGCTGTTTTTCTGGACTGTTGTGGTCTAAACGAATCGACGTGTAAGTAAAGTCCGTTGCATGGTTTTTGACCTACGGCTACTGAATAGACAGAGGGGACAATGGGCTATTGCTGCGTTGTCAGTTGTCATATCGATAATATTTATTAATACATGAAAATTGCAAAAAAATTTCCTTCATTTTCATGTAATAATAAATATTATTATTGATATGACAACGCAGCAATAGCCCATTGTTCTTTCTGTCTATTCAGTAGCCGTAGCTCAAGAACCATGCAACGGACTATATGTATGATGCTGGTTGTTGCAAATACGGCATATCATTGACGAATTGCATTTGTATTTGTAGTCATGATTCAAGCAGTTTGAACATAGTTTTTTTTTCTTTGGCAGCTTTTAGCGGAAGTTCTGATGATAAGGCTTTGCATTTTGGGCAATGGAAAATCATGTGGGCTTTATTGCAGTACTTGCAAGCATCAGTGCTTCTGGCTTTGTCATTATTGTTTGAGTTAGGGCGAATTTTCTTCTGTGTGTCTGAAATTGCTTCTAATGATCGGAATCTTGCTTGAATAAATTTCCTTATTCCAACGAAGTCCTGTATTTCATGGAGCTTGTTGGTTTCATGATTCCGTTTTTGGCAGATGATGCGACTGATAATAGGACCCCAATTGGAAGTATCGATACTTAGATTATTGATAGCATCAAGACATTCCACAACTGTATCGTGAAGCTGTTTAATCTTGAATAATGATTCGTTCTTAATCAGTGGAAGATCTAAGATCCTATCTAGTAGTTTGGAGACTATAAGTATGTTGTTGCTGTATCTGTCATTGAGAATATTCCAAGCAGGGCCATAGTTGGTTTTTGCTATAGACAGGTGCTGGATCAGTCTTCCAGCTTCCCCTCATATGCGTTTTTTAGATACTGCATTTTTCTATTGTCGTAATTGTTGGATTTTCATGAACCACTTTGATGAAAATGTCTCGAAATGTGACCCACTCTTCATATCGGTCTTCAAAAATTGGTAGTTTGATTTGAGGTAATGTTATATTGCACGGTTTCACAACTTGTTCTACTCCTTGAATTTAGTCCTATTCTTCTTTCGAACAATTTTTCGGTGCCTGATACTGGTTTGGATCGTAATATGAGGCTCCTTGTTGTGCGGGTGGTTTGGTTGCCTGACGAAGCTTTTGTTTGGAATCAGTAATGTGTTTTGTGATTTCTGTCAAGCTCTATAATTTGTTTATAGTTTTCTTCAATGTTTTCCCAAATTGGCTCAAGTTCAGCTGTTTTTCTGAGAAAATATTATTATATTGTTCATTTTTCTCTCATGGGGGTCCTTTTTGTAATTGGAAAATAGGGTTTTTACCTTTTTACCCAAGGTTTCTTGTGCTTTAGCGAGTTCGTTGGTTTCTTCCTTTTTTGATGTTGCCTACTGCCATTGGTTATCTATTCCTTTTCCTCCTCTTTGTGTAGGTATGTCCCGGCTCCTTCTTATTACTTTGACTCCAGGACCTGGTGTTTTTTGTCTCCTTTTTTTGCTGCTGTCTGCTGGTATCTGAACCGATTTCTTTCTTCTATTCTGTTGAGGATGAGATGCTGCAACCAGACAAGGCACTTGCTATAGCGGGAAGAAATGTATTTGTAGGTGCTTCAGTCCGGTGTATAAGCGTTAACCCCGAAGGGCACGAGTGTATGTGTATATTTGATTATTAATAGGATGAAGGAAAGAGTGTATAGCCAGACAAGGCACTTGCTATACTAGGAACGGGATGCTGTAACCAGATAGGTACTTGCTACAGCAAGGGATGTAGGTATTTTTGTGTGGGTGTTTGGGGTGGTGTCTAAACGTTAACCCCGAAGGGCGCGAGTGTATGTGTGTAGGTTAAAGAATGGGAATGAAGAGAGGACTACTAGGAAGGGCTGGTTTTCAACCTTTATCTTCTTTTTGCTCGAAGGAACAATGTAAATTCCTGTATTGGAATTTAGAAGGATGCTCCGAACACTTGGTAGTTTGTTGTTTGTGGTTTGTAGGTTTGTTAGTACACCCGGGAAGTTTGGTAACTGGGGAGTAAGAACCACTGTTGGATTAATACTGATTTTTATTAAACAATTAACAACTATTCATATACAAAAAATGCATCTTTGACAAACGTCATGAACAATGGTAGTTAATTAAAAAGAATAATTCGCTGACAAAAATCTGGCGTGTGCTCCACATCGAAAGATTTGGTTATTAAACTTCTGATGACGCTGCGTCTGGTATAGATCGTAGTATTGGCTATGTTTCCTGGTGACCCACTGGCGGTGCGTTTGTGTCGATGATCTAGGAGCACCTGGACGCTAATAATTAATTAATTTTTGTAATGATTTTGATAGCTATAATTCAGGACTTTTTTTATAACTAAATTTTGAATTAACCATTCAACCTGTGGTTATTTGTATCCACCTGAAGATAGTGATGAAGATGATAGTGATGGATGAGGCCGATTTGTAATTTTATTAAAATTTATGTGAAAATATACAGGGTGTCCCAGAATATGTGGGCAATCTCTCGGATTCAGATAGAACGCAAAAAAAATGAGAATTTCCTATAAAAAAAAATTCCTACGGCCCCCCCTACGAAGTTACGTGCCCCTAAAGGATGCCTCAGAAAATCGATTTTTTGTTCATAACTTTCAAAATACGTGTAATTTTTTTTTTCTTTTAATGTGATGGATACTAGATAAGACCCCTTGGAATGGACCTTTTCAAATACACTTGACCAATCTAGTTTGCCAGGGACGGACTAGCCTTAACACAATAATGACACTGAGGAAATATTAGTAGAAAGGATTAATTTTTACTATCGCGAGATAAGGGCTGATATTGGAGCATTGTCGAGAGTCGAACAATATTTCATTAAAATAGGTATGGAATGCACAAAATTAGAAGGAGCTCATGTTGAGTCGATATACAAAATTATTTAATAAAAAACCATTAATAAAGAAAAACAGATTTTTCTCTAAACCAGCTCATTTTTTCGACATCGATTAAGAGTACCTTTTTTCTAGTTCAAGGTTGAAACTATCTAAAAATTTTATTGCTATGCCTTTATCATACGGGGTGTAAAAAAAAGGAGCATTATTGTGTTAAAGCTAGTCCGTCCCTGGCAAACTAGACTGGCCAAGTAAGTTTGAAAGGGTCAATTTTAAGGGGTCTTATCTAGTATCAATCATATCAAAAAAAAAAAATACAGAGAGTATTTTGGAAGTTATCAACAAAAAACCGATTTTCAGAGGTATCCTTTAGGGGCACGTAACTTGGTAGGGAGAGCCGTAGGAATTTTCTTTTATAGGAAGTTGTCATGTTATTTTTTTGTGTTCTGTCTGAATTCGAGAGATTGCCCACATATTCTGGGACACCCTGTATTACTTAAATTTCTTTGAATACACAAAATAATATAACGTAGACCATATTTTCTTTTGATAAAAATAAGGTATAAACACCTACAATATTTTTCAATGTGTTCACTTTAATTCCAACCAGCAACCAAAATATATATTTTTTTTTTCGCAATACTTCCACAAAAATATGTTATTTTCCTCTTCACATTACCTTCCTAACAAGCTAAAAAAAATTGAAATCGGTTGAATAGCAGCGACGATAAGGCACATTGTTTATATAGCTATGGCGGCCATCTTGTTTTATGCACTCCAAACAAACGCAACATATGTGACAGTGCTACCATGCAAATTATTGAACTACATATTTTCTCTGATAGAACGACACCACTGGCACCTTCCCTTCATTAACCTTCCCATGGGACACACAAATGCTCCCGTACTAAAAATCCAAGTACCGAAACCTTTTTTTTTGTGGTTCAGATTGTCTACAAAGTCATGAGACAATCGCGAACAAGTGGAAGAGGTTGAAAAATGCGTTAGTAAATTTGCAAAACGTACAAATAAATAAAAATATACTTGCTTTCATTGTTGTAATAATGTTGATTCTTGTTCCAAGTTCCTTTGCCAGATTGGTCCTTGGGTATGATTATTTTACAATGCTCTCCATCTTCAGTATGACTGAATGTTTTAAATTGCATCGTATAATCTACGGGAGTTTTAACAGAATGACTGTTATTAGAAGCTGGCACTACAAATGTGGCATATGGAGTTATCTCATAGTTTCCTTAAATATAAAGTTCAAACTAAAACTTTTCATTTAATAAATATATTTTGTTCAACGTGCATGTGAGTCATGTGGAAAATACTGTCAACGGTCATGGGACAAAATCTACCTACGTTAAATATGAAACTGAAAAAATACTCTTAGTAAACCTGTGGTTCATTATTTATATTATAGGTTTTCAAGTTTTTAGTTGTTTTTCTGATATAAGCATTTATTGAAATATGGCCCTTACAGCTAAGTGTGTATCATTCTTATTAATGTTTATTATTGATAAGTGGCTTTTCCCCTAAATAAAAGTTTCAACATCCTTAATACTGGGTCATCATCGGCGGAACATTTCTTATTTGAGAATAATATTGCTTGAGCTTTGGAAGCATTAAATTTGACTAGGTTGTTGACGCCCCAGTTGGCATTGGTGTCAGGATCACTGTTAATAGAGTTAATCTATTCTCAGGCGAGTAAGCGGTTTGACAGAAGAGAAAGATGCCATCAAGCTACTATCTTTCGCGAATCTGTATATGGGGTTTCTTATCACATTTACCAAATCATTTATAAAAATGAGAAACAGTGGGACAGAATTGAGCCTTGGGGAACGCCGGCATTTATAGGCAGTGCATCAGAAGACACCCCATCGACCAGAACATACAGTAACCTAAGATCTCCCCAGCCCATGGCAACATTTGTTCGGAAGGCCATACAATAGAAGTTTGCTGATAAGACCCTTGTGCCACACCTGATTAGTGATTCCCACGAGACCAACGAGACGAGACTTTCATAAAGTCTTGTCTCGTCTCGCCGATAAATAAAAAGTCTTGTCTCGAGTCTTGTCTCGCAGCCTTAAGTCTCGTCTCGTCTCGCTTCTCGTACGAGAGTCTCGCAAATGTCTCGGAGTCTCGTCATGCATAATTTTGTTCCAGTTTAGAGTCTATAGTTGAACCAAATCCAAGCGGCAGTAATGGCATAACTGGTCATTTTCATTACAACCTATCAAATGTCCTCCGTGCATGCGCACTGGTCCAGGTAGGGCGTCTCAACCAATAAAAAGTCTGAATTACCAACACAATTTAGGTTATTTAATGAGGAAGTTGATGGAAAATGTATTTAGAGTGGAGCAAAATACTCAAGAAGTATATTTCTATATTTAAATCCTCTTTAAACTGAACCCCTAATAACTAATTAATTATTCAAGTATTCAATAACAATGGGCGCGAAAATACTCTAAAATTGGGCGTGTTTGGGTTGACGCTCGGCGGAGCGAGCAGAGCGATTACGGAGTAACGTGACGTCATAGGGGGTACACCGTGTCAAGCCAAATAAACTCGTGCAAAAGTGCTGGGTTCAGCAATCAGCTGATTATTGTTTATTTTTTTATGATATATTTTTTGGATTCCGATCCCGCACTTCGCATTCGCACCAGAGTTTTCTCGTTTATTTTATATTTTAGTCGAAAAATTTCAAACAGCCCTATTTTCTTTTGTGTTCTGCTAAAAATATCGTGCTACATAAACAATAAAATGGACCTAAACACTCTGAGGCTGCCAAGTTCCCTTGGAAAAATATGTTCAATAATACCGTAATGATGACTACCGAAAAAAATCAATTAAAAGTAAACAAATATGCAGAATTTACTAGCTATCTGATTGTTAACATTTAAACAAAATAGCTAAAACTACAGTGGCTAAATAAACCTTTACATACAGTGGCGACAATAGAGGTCCCGCCGCCATCATGTTCCCAACCTCTTGTTACTTTTGAATATTAGTATATTGGATTTAAATGGACATCTATCATAAAAAATTTAAATCTACGTATTTGATGACCATTATTAGGTCCATCAAATACGGTGTTTTCCATGATTTATGCTGGATGTTCACCTGAATCCCATATATTCATATTTAAAAGTAACAAGGGGTTGGGAACAAGATGGCGGCGTTTTTAATATAAATATATGGGATTTTAGAACCAATCAAAAATGAGACAGCAATTGTCGCCACTGTGGGTTATAGAGTCACTGTAGCTAAAACTATCCAGCTAACAAATAAATGTTAAAATTTAGGGTTGTTTATTTATCTTATTATGGAAAATAGGTTAGGTCATACAGACAGATTAAACACATCTGATCTGCGCATGCACGCTTCAGCTGCCCACTCCACAAACTCGGAGTTTATCGAGCTCACTCGGAGCGCTCAAAATATGTAAAACCAAACACAATCAAGCGTTGTCGGAGCCAAACCTGGCCGTCGGCGACATCCAAATTGCGAAGCCCTTTTTATGTAGGGAGGTAGTGGCGGATCCGCGAGGAAGGGGGGGTAATGGGGGTAATTCAATGACATCAAAATACAGATAGATGGATCATCCCATTCATAAACTGATGGCGTTTACGACTGGTAGATCTAGTGCGGAACTAGTGCATTTTTTTTTTTAATTTCTGTCTTTTTCTTCTACACGTCGATTAAAAGGATGCAAATACACTCAGTGCGCACTGAATCTACGAATCGGAAACGTCATGATATTTGTTGTGTGGACAAGTCCACCCATAGGCCAGGGGAGGTGAGTTGCTCGCGGGGTCGGGGTGGGGAGAGATCATTGCTCAAAATGGCGTAAAAAAGCTCCGCCCATACGTGAATATATCTCAAAAATTAATCGGTTTTTTTTTTTTTTTTTACGGATATGCGCACTCGCAAGGAAATGTCCTATCACGCTCGAGAAGCGGCAAGTGCGCGGAAATGTCGGTGTATGTTGGTCTTGAAACGGTTCAGGTTGTAACCTGCAGGAAAAACCGTCGCAGGGAGTTTATTCCACAGCGATGCTGTTCTCCAGAGATATGAATTCTGATATAATGAGGTTCTTGGTGCCTCTAGTTTGACAGTAAATTCATGGTTACCGTCTGTTTGACGGGTTCGCCTGGTAGGCGCTACTCTCGGTGGAATCATACATGCCAACTCTTCAGAGCATTTTCCATGATAGTACCTGTAGAAGAGAGATAAATCGCCCACAGATCTGCGATGTTCAAGACCATCCAAGTTACGAGTAAGTGCGGGGTCATTGATCAGCTTGATAGCTCGTTTTTGCACGGTGTTTAAAAGCATTAAGGTATGTTTGGGTGCTGCACTCCATATATGTGAGCAGTACTCCATAGTTGGTCGAATTTGGGCTTTGTAGAGTGTCAGCAATTGGCTTGGTGTGTACAGATGTCTTGTACGAAATAGCACCCCCAGCTTTTGGGACGCCCTTTTAGCAATATCTGCCACGTGACTGTGCCAAGACATGTTGGTCTCTGCAGTAACCCCCAAGATGTTCAACTGACTCTGTAATGTGACAGCACTTCCAGATAGCATGATGTTTGGCTCACCGGTGCTGGTCTTTTTTGAAAACAGAGCTGCTTGGGTTTTCTGCGCGTTGAACTGTACAAGGTTTTTGTTACCCCAGTCCTCTATTATCTCCAGGTCGTTATTTATCTGCGATATTTGAGTTAGTCTAAGATGATGGAATTCACGTGCGGAAAGACCTGTGAGTGGTATGAGTGAGGAGACTACATTGCCATCGTCTGCAAAGCAATAAAGTGGATTTACTGTTTTATCTATGAGGTCATTTATGTAAATCAGAAAAAGAGTTGGCGAAAGGATTGCTCCCTGTGGCACACCAGCATTTATTTGGTAAGAGTTGGAGTTCTGGCCATCCAGTGCAACATAAATGGATCTGTCCTTTAGGTAACTTTCAAACCAAGTGCAAAGTTTCGGCGATAATCCCATTGCTTTGAGCTTATTGACCAGATTTTCATGCCAAACTTTGTTGAATGCTTTAGATATATCTAAGGCAATTGTTCTTGTTTCACCCCGCAACTCAATCGCTTTTTGCCATAAGTGAGTGACGTATGTAAGTAAATCGCCAGTTGACCTATATTTTCGAAATCCGTATTGCTTATCGTTGATAATTTTGTACTTTTCCAAGTACTTGGTTAGGTGATTGTTCACAACTCTTTCCATTACTTTTGATATCATATCATCATATGATGAATAAATAAAATGACAATTTGACAAATAAACTGAAAATATTCGATACGGCCACTTTATTCTGGGGAGTACCAATATCGTATTGGTCGTTTCTTGTTTAACGCTAATGAATAATCCATGTGTGCGATAAAGATAGCTAGCTACTCCAACCAACACTTGCCTGCTATCGAACAAGCCGCTTCTGAGCGGAGTTTTGCTACAATCCGCTGTTGCCAAATTGAGTTCAAAAATAAAATTGAAAACGTTAATTCCCAATAAACATTTTTCGCAACTTATAGTAACGTCAGGTTATATAATGGGTATATAATAGTAACAAAGGTATATAAGAAGGTTTCCAAGTTTTATAATCTGCAACCTATGGTAACATAGTTTTATAAATTTGAAAGGTAGTTCACGTCCACACACTTGTAAAGAAACGAAATTGCAGCTTTTTTGGACTTTTTTTATTCACGTAAGTATTAATCAATTGCCAACGTTTCGACACGGATGCGTGTCATCCTCAGGGCTAAAATGTATAACAAACCAGTTAACATAACTACATTTGTAACAAATTCATTACATTTACATAGAATTTATCATTTCGCAAATGTGCAACATAAACAGAAAAAACAGTACTAAAAACATGTAAATTATTATCAATTAATTGTGTTATAAAATAATCAAAATAACATATACACAGATAAAAAATAAATTATTGTTTTGTTTATTAGACCCAAATTGGGATGGTTTAGAATCAAAAATCAATACTGACAGACATTAACTCACCTAGATTAGTAATTGTGGTGCTTGTCTTTTGAAATTAAAAAACATAAAAAATACATAATTCCAACGGACATATCAAAATTCAAACCAGCCGTGCAATGGTAACAAGCCACAAATTGATACTGATATTATATTGAACGAGATTCCCTGATATGGAATGTGTCAATGTCCTTGACCATTGGCTGCTGAAAAAGTACCTTTATTTGAGCAAATTAATTAATTTGG